TAAAAAACACACACACATACACAAAAGACTCTGTGTGCATGTATGTGCATATGGTGTAAATGTGTATGGAAAAGTAAGTGTGGTGCATGCAACAACGACCCTGTTCCGAGTGTGTACCTAATATGTATGTATGTATTTGCAACAAAAAGCAATATATAAAAAAAAAACAAAAAAAAAATAGCCTGCAAAGGGCGCGAACGGAAGAGAACCGATAAAGAAAATATTTCCTGCTGCAAGTACACTTTGCGCTACGACAAAAGCAGCATCTGCGAATTTTCCAAACAAAACAGAAAACGCCATTACTTATGTAAAAAGTACACTGGGCCATTCAGGTGTCCGCCGTTAAAGCACAGTGGCCAGTTTCACCCTAATCTGAGTTTGGGTGGTGAATTCGTTGGCTCATTTAAAAGTTTAGGTACAGCGAATATTTTACAATGCGAGTAACTATTTTTTAACTATTTTGTTTTTCCCAAATTTTTTTTATAAAAATATGGTTTCTCCAACAAAAACCCCAAAAACCAGAGTTCCAAACTATATATGTGCAAAATTAAAGAAAATTCTGCAAAATTTCATTCAAATATTGCACTTTATATTTACGGTCTCTAGAAAAAAGTTGAATTTTAGTATAGTATGAGGAAGCTAGGACTTAACATTGATTTTAGGAAAATTTTTCGAACATTATTTTTGGACAGAATTTTATTTAACTTTGCGTAAAGTTTGGAACTCTGAGTTTTGGGGTTTTTGTTGTATAATTAACCATATTTTAATAAAAAATTTGCGAAAAGTAAAATATTTAAAAAATAGTTGCCGGTCTTGTAAAAAATTTGCTGTACCCAAACTTTATTGACTGACTGTACATGCAAATGGCAGGCAAATAAGATTAATGAAGGATGAGCCATAGATAAGTAAACAAAGTTTGTGCTTTATTTTAGGTAGGTACCCAATTTAACTCTACTCTGTAAAGAACTATGTATTTATTTATTGTAATATTAGTTATCAGAATATTTGCCATTTTAGTGTTTCGTCTGAAATCAATAAAATCAAAACAAAAACTATTTATTAGATTTATCGTTTATCTCTCTAGCCTTATCAAGTTTTTTTTTTACAAAATCAAAATCCAAAATCTAATACGATTCAAGTTTTTTTTTTAAATACCTATTCCAAAGACAAAATGCTACAGTCGTTTTTTAACCGACGTCAAAAAAGAGGAAGGTTATCAATTCATCCATGCAGGCAGTGTCAAATGTACGTGTACACCTTGTTATAATTATCTATAATATGTACTCATAATTATTTTCATGAAAAATTTTTTCATTAATTACTTATGAAAATATAGTAAACTCTATAACAAAAAACACATAACGAAAAACATATATAATTTTACACTTTATATAAAGCTCACAAATATTCAAACAATTTTTATCATTTCAAAAATTTTATTCAGAATTTCGAGTATGCAGTTTTGTAGCTCAATTTTAGTAGAAACAAAGTGTAAGTTTTAAGTCACTAAAAATTACCGTTAATTTTTTAGATTTATTTTTTTTTTTTTTGTGGAAGTGTTACGCGTTTTATTCCACATAACGCGTGTTGAAAGTCTATTTCTATATGGAAGAAAATGCACAACGACCTCCACAAAAAAAAATGTTATAGAAATCAACGGTAATTTTTAGCAACTTGCACTTTGTTTTTTCTATCGCTGGAAATCTATAGTTTATACTTCCATAACAATTTCTAAATGTGGCTCATTTACTTCAATAGTGTCATAACTCAAAAAACCCGAACTCGAGAAAAAAACAAAAAAAAAATATGAACTTAATCCACATTATCCTAAATCCGTCAATATGAAAAAGTGTCATAACTTCCTACATACTTACATATACTATATGTAGGTACAATGTATATTGCCATCAATTTTATAAAATTTAAAAATATATTTGAATGATTCACAGCAACAATGAACAATTTTTAACGTTTTAATTTATGACTTTGTGACAATGTAGCTTTTATGACACCTTGTGCAACTCCTATCTATACAAATGAGTTAATACTCCAGATAAAGCTTAATACATAAATAAAAAATAATTCGAATTTCGTGAAAATTAAAATATTAAATTCACACCAGGAGTGTATAAAACATACATACTTAGCAAGTACGTAAAAATAATGTGTGTGTAAATAAAAATTTGCAAAAAAATATGAAAATAAAAATTTCAATTGCGACAAGTGAAAGGCGGAAAGAGCTAAAAGCGAAAAAGGAACTCCACCAGCGGCAGAGTGAAAATAAACTGTGTCTACAACATTAAACAGCATTAACGGCGGCAATAACAAAAAACTGGTACCGCAATACAAGCTGGAGCAAAATAACAGAAAAATCCAGCGGCTCGCTCAAACGGCAATAAAGCAAAACTTCACAACATAAAATAGCGAAGAAAACAAGACAGCACCACGACAACAACAACAACAACAAGCACATTCGAATATTCCACGTAAACAAGGTTTTAGGTTGTTTATTAACTTCATTTTTGTTGTGCGAATTGTGGTAGATTTGCTATGTACAAAAAAAAAAAAAAAAAAAAAATTAAATTGTTACATACTTTGTTTCTGCTACTGCTTTAAAAAAAAAATAAAACTGCTTTTCGCTATTCATTTATGTAGGTACATTCCATTAGACTTTTGCTACTTTTTGCATTTTTTTTTTTACTGCAACTTTATTTTGTTCACCTCTTTTCTATCCGACCTCAAGCAGCGCAAAAATAAATGCAAAAAAAAAATACATACAAAACTTCCAAACTACCCCGACCGCCCTCCCGACCATATCTACCCGCCCAACAGTGATACCGATCGCCTGTCCGTCCGTCCAAAAGTCGATGACGACGACAATGACCTGGATTTGTGCGTTGGAATTGTTGTTGCCGCCATTGTATTGTCATTTTGTTTGTGTTGTTTTACTGTTACTGTTGGCTTTTTTTTGTTTTAATGTTTTCGTTTTGTTGCCACTGCAGCATTCGTGGAATTTCTTTTCGACGTTTCTGCCTTCATTTTGTTTTTTTTTTTTGTGGCTTTTGCCATTGTGTTTTGCACTTTAATAAAAGTTAGTTAGTCTGTTAAAAACATTTACTACTGTAAATACATATGGATGTATGTATATATGTATGTATGAACATGATTGTACCTAATTGTTTGAAATTTTCGCCCATCAACTTCCCAAAAACAAACAAAATTTTGTTACTGTTTACGTTACCAGGCTAAATGTATTACGTTCGGAGGTTTTGTAAAATGCGGCTAATAAGTAATTTGGCAGATGTGTACCTACATAAATACGAGTTTTTTTTTACTTTGTACATACATTCATCGGTAAGTATGTACATAAAATGCAAATAAAGTTTTAAAAGTTTGCCGAATTATGACTTCTTATATTTTTATGCAACCATAGAATTCAGACAAAAATGTGCATACAGTGTCTGTCAAAATCCTGCAGTAATTTGTTTCACATATTTTGAAAAAACGTACATGTGTACATATTTTGTTTTATTTAATTTCTTTTAATTTTTAATGAAAATATATACTTCATTTCCAAAATGTATTTTTATGTTCAATACACCTTGTTCATACCATGATAAAAACATTATTCATACTACAACAAAATTCATACAACTCAAAATTTATAACTTTTTAACAGTTACAAAAAAAACCGTAAGCTGTCCATCAAAATTTCAAACTTTTTATTCAGGTTTTTTTTATGCAGTCTTATAGCCCGTTCAATTTCAATATATTAAAGCGCAAGTTTGAAGTCGCTACAAAATACAGATAATTTTTGACAATTTTTTTTTTTTTTTTAAGGTATCGCGCATTTTCTTCCATATAACGCATGGACAAATTTTATAAAAAGAGTGAAATTTCCATGAAAATTTTAGGTTTTTTTTTTTAATTGTTGCAAAGTTAGACTTTCGAGTTTTATGTTTTTTTAATGTGGTATGACTATTTTTTTTATCAAAAAATAATAAAATTTTAATAAAACAAAATATTTTCAGCAATTTTTATTGAGCTTGAGGCCGTTTTTAATGAAAAATGTTACCTTTCCACAATAAGTTTTTCATTAAAATCGGCCTCAAGCTCTATAAAAATTGTTGAATATAATTGTTATAAAGCCATAAAATAACAAAAACAAAACAAAATATTTTCCATATGTGGAAAAAGTTGATATACGATTTTGACTATATTTTCTTTTTATGTATGGAACATTCGAAAGGAACATGAAAAAGCAACTGAAAAAACCACAGCAACTTTTACCACAATTATGTATATGCATACATACATATGTATGTAGGTTTATGTACAGATATGTAAAACTTTATGTATTTAAAAACTTTCAGTAAATTTTTGATTAAAAAAAAAACTGTATATTACCTACATATGTACCTACTAGAAAAAATGCTCATTTAGATTACTTTGTTATCGCGTCTAAAAATAAGCTTTGTATTTTATAATTAAGTACCTACATACATATGTACCTAGTTGTAGGCATTTGCGTGCTAATTAAAATTTTTGATTAAGTTGACGTTTTTATTGATTATAAATTTGGAATTGCTTTAACTCGCAATTAATCACAAAAGCAAAAGTTGTTTATATAGGTACATACCTAAGTATGTATTTACAATCTGCGCCTATTTTTCATATTTCGTTATTCAGTTTTGCATAATTATTTATTGTTTCGGAATAATAATTGATTTTACGTTAACTTTTACATTTAATATTCTAATTAAGAAGGCTTAAGAAAAAACTACAAATCCAGGTCTGGCAAAATTATTGAGGTAGAATGTTTAGAAAAAATTTTGCGTTTTCGCTAAGATTTTAATTTGAAGTACATATGTACATATGTACCTACAAAGGTAGGTATTTTTCCACTTTCATTACTTCAGAGCTCGATGGAATTATTAAAATAGCTTCTCTCAAAATTTTAAATTTTAGTTGATTACTTAGTTTAATAAGAAAATATTTACCTTTATTGATTTCAGGCGACGCACAACAAAATTGTTGATTTTATTCGACCAGCTTTTACATTTCATTGGGGAGGCTGTTTGTGTTTTATTAAAAACTCAAATGTAATAGAAATAAAAATGGAATTTAATAAATTCGAATAATCACTGCCATTTACAGAATTTTCTTCAATCTTGTAATTTAATATTCACTTTATGCATTTGTTGGCGATTAGTCATTTTCCCAGTTCAAACAACTCGGGGATTAGTTTCTATGCACATTCTACTTTAAATCACTTTTTCGCAAATAATCCCGTTTTTTTCTGCAGCAACTGCACTGTATTTATTTTATCCTTAATCACACAAATTTTTATTGTAGCTTTACAATTTTCTAAAGGTTTCAAGTTGACACCAGACTTTTCGATTTTTTTAAGTTTAACTACATATAATAATTCTGGACACTTCACTTTGCTGTGTAAATATTTTATTAATACTGTTGAAAAAATTCCTTTTGAGTTTTCACTCTAATATTTATTGCTTGGCCTTTTTAGTAGTTCCTTTTGCATTTATTTGTTCAGGCTTAAGACAAAAAGCTTAAAACTTGAAGAACTGTTTTGTTGCACTTTTTCAAAGAAATGTTTGGCGCTCCAATTTTATAATTCGCGTTCACAATGCGAGCGCTTTTATTTCGAACATCCAAACCGAACAAAGTTTAAAAATAAACTGTCGCTTCAGTTCCGCTGCGAACGCTATGGAGCTGCGATGAATGCAGCGCAGACAACGTAAAAAGTGGAAAGAAAATTTACGAACGCAGTGGAAGGAAAACGAAACAGTTCCCCTTTGCGCACAGCGAAAAATCCCCTACACGATGACGGCGTTCGTACGTTGGCCGACTCTCTGTTTTGCTTTTTTCGTCGTCGTTGGGCTGCCACATGGTATTTTATTACCAAAACTGGTAGCTGTTTTTCTTTCAGCTATTGCAAATAAAAATTTTCAATTTCAGTGGCAAAATGTTCCAAAATGCTCAGAATGGACCTTATTATTGTTAGTTTGCAATTTTTAAAAATTAGGTGTATTCAGTTTCAAAAAAGTATTATGATTTATGCGGTAAAGTTTAGATTTCAACATTTTCATTTTGAGGAACCCCTCATTTAAGTTTACCACACTACCTACTTACCGAGAAAGACTCTTATGCTGGATTTCCACTAGGCATTAAATGGCGAAAATGCGAAATGACAAAGTTGGGCCTTACAAAAAATATGGTGTCATTGTGTGAAAAACGGAAAAATGGTCATTAAGTTCATTTCCAGATGGCATTTTCTTAAATGGCATACATTTTTTGTCATTTCAATGCCTAGTAGAAATTTGGCATTAGTTTTACACAATTTGTATAAACTGCTTCTTGCGAAAAATTTTAAATTTCTTAGCTAATTGTTTTGTGTGGATATTTTTGATCTCGACCTAAGAAAAACTATTTACATATTTTCGAATAACTATGTATGTCAGTAAATTAAGCATACCGTAAAAAGTTAATTACTTCATATATATACATAAATATTATTTTTTTTTAATCTCATTTATTGTGTCTATGAAAAAGTAAAATCCAATTTTTGGCGAACGCTTCTAAAAAACGTCTTTTTTTGATATCTCAAAAATGGATGGCATTTGACTAAAGTAAGATTCTTATATCAGTTACTACATTTTTCTTAAGCGACATAAGGCTGTTTCAGGTACTTATATGGACCTTCCTAACACCCTGTGTGCGCGATGAGAAAGCAAAGTCATGATGTTATCCCTAGGCAATGGCACAATTTTTGGATGTAGGCACACGACAAACTTCTAATTTCATTTCCAGACCTTCACATAAATGTAAAAATTTAAAAGACAAAAATTTCTGATAAGGCGGTGTAAAGTCCTTCATCTGACTTTCATTGCTTCACCTGGCATAATTTCTCTACACTTAAACAAAAAGCTAAGTATAGCAGTTTTTGCAGATAATAAGGCAATCTATATCGGTAATGGGTTTTAGAAAACCTCACACAATTTTACGTAGATAGTTATCTTGCTCTCTGGTTACGGAACACATAGCAGACATTATATCATCGCGGTAACATTCGTGGAAACCTCAAAACTGGGTATTTAAGGTGCTCAAGGTCGAAATAAACATGTTGTGTCTGAAAAAGTTTTTAAGATTTACATGTATATACATATGTACATATATGTACCCTCAAATTACATAAAATTAACAAATATTTTCCATCTTGATTTGCGCTGTAACCGCCGAGTCCAACAAAGCAGGCAAGCGTATATTTCCAGTATTATCTGAAATTTTTTCAAAAAGCGACTACTCAACACCGAATTTTATTAAAATCTTAATTTTTGTACGTTTTGAAAGGAATAAATTGGGGACTTACGAGGGTTTATTTAAAAGAAAACATACCGTTATACTACCGGCCGATGTGAGTTTCGTCAACTTTTGGGTGTTTTCTTCCATTGTTTTGGCTTAATTTTTTTAAGTGTGTGGCAACGTGGGTTCACTTGTTTTCATTTCGTGTTGTTGTGCCGAATTGCATTAGCGAAGTTAAATTAAAATGTTTATTTTTTATTAATAAGTGCCTGCAAGCTGTCAGTATGTATGTATTTGCATACTTATGTATGTATGTACTTTGTACAAATGATATTTAGATAGATAAATGTGTAGATAGGTTTGTAAATACAAATCCATAAGTACTTTACGTGTAATTTGAAAAGAATTTCAGCAATGCATTCGAAATGGTGTCGTTGGGGAACAAGTCCCCATCTCTCTCTCTCTCTCTTTCCTCCTGCAGCAGGCATCTTTCTTCTCGTCTCTCCCTCTCTTTTCGACTGTTCCATTCCGCTTGCAGTCCACAGTTTATTCGCTCGTTCTCCGTTATTTACATAGTGAACCACCCAAATCCGAAATCAAAACGAAACCGCGCAGCGTTCGTTCAACTCGTCGTATTGTTGTTTTGCTGTACAAAATTGTTTCATCTTCCTTTGCCTTTGCTATTCCACTGTTTAGTGGTTTTGTTTTGATGTTCTATTTTTGTTTTTGATTCGCTTGCTTTTCGCTGTTTGATTACAAGCGGAAGTTGGGCGTAGAGATTGGCGTGGAGATGCTCCAGCAACAACAACAACAACACTTTGGAACCAAAAATGAAATAAAATTAAAACAAGAACTGTAACGGTGCGCCGCCGGCAACTCCCAAAGTCGCTTCAACCGCCATCACCACGAAAACTTCACTAACAACAACATACATAGATAGACACATGCCTACATATGTACATATGTATGTATTTCTATTGTTTTTTAGGAGGGGATGAAGGTGTTAAACATTGTTTTATTTTTTTTACTAATTTCTCATAAAAATATGTATGTCTAAGAGCCATACCTAAATAAGCGCGTCAAGCGTTAAGCCTGTCGGCCTCTCTTCTTCTAGCGTATATAAATTTAATGCGTCAGAGAGAGATAAAGATACAAGCGAACCGCTCAACGCGCTAATTTAGGTACGGCTGTAATTGATATAAAAATAAATAAGTAAAATTAAAAAAACGGCAACCTGGAGCAAATAGTTCACTTAAAATTTCGAACTATGTAGTTCAATCAATTCAATGGCCAACTGTTGAATTAACTCACTCGTGCGCTTCCCAACTGTACTGAAAATTCGCTTTGATTGCTGACATCAATGTTTTTGTAATGTTGCTAATGTGAAATTGGCAGAGTTGCAATTGTGACTAAAAAATAGAATTTTACAAAAAGAATGCTGCACTCTAGGTATGTTATTTTATGACTTAAAATTAAATAGTCAAAATTCCCCGCAAAATGCAGCGATTCCTCGATTCCTCCCAACGAGACAAATTCCCCGCAAATCGGGGAATTGGCCGCAAGTTGGCATCGCTGATGAGCTATACTTCAGGGCAAAACGAAAACAAATGTCGCATTCTTATCTAAATTTATGCCTAAATGTCCATATCATTGGCGCACACAAAGGGTGGATTTTTGGGTTCAGTTGGTACGTCATTTTATATGAATTTTTCTTGAGAGCTCTTAAAAGTTTTAATGTGAATGAAAACATTGTCCTAAAATATACAGTGTACTTAACATAACAAGGACTCCAAGATTTAATTTGCCAACTTCGAATTCGTTCCAGCAAAATGAGCTACATAATAAAGTTACAAGTTCAGTTAATTTTTTCGGTATTCGAAATATTAAAAAAATTAGTCAATCTGGAAAAATCACAATCTTTATCGAAAACCAGAAAAGAGAAATCGAAGAATATGCACATAAGAGTATAAAAGTTTCATGAAATTAATTCAATTATTATTATTAAAACTCCTTTAAATTAAACAAGTATTTTTTAAGTAAAAAACACAACTAACTTCAATTCTCATATACAAATTTAGGAGTACCGTTAATTTTTTCATGATCCAATCGAATCTAAACCAAATTACGAGACAACCCTTGAGCTTGAGCCCGCGACAAAAGCACACCAATATTTTTACCAGTTTTGACCACTTTTCTTTTGCTTTTTTTTAAAGTTCATTAATTTTTTATTAAAGTTCAGCACCTTATCTAACAAAAACCATATATGTCCAAATTTTAAATTTTGTACACAAATTTGGAAAGAAGAATATATGTACTATCTGAAGAACTAATTAGTTTTGTAAGGGCGTTGTAAATGTGTTGAAAACTTTTGGAATAAGTCTGAACTTAACACAAATTTTTATTATTTTTCTCACTTCGACAGCATTTTGTTCTAAAATTTCAAAACCAAATAGTCTCTTTCAGTCATTGTTTCGAAAAGAATTTTCAATTTCAAGTAAAACTAGGTACCATTTATTAAAACCAGTAGACAATGTCGGAAGTTATGAATTTTCAGTTGGTTTGAATTCATTAATCACAATATTCCGCATTAATTTTAATATTCGCATTCGCTTTCGCATTCGCAATAATCAATGCAGATCTTTTGCGAATGCGAATATTGAAGGGACCGAAAATAACAGTTTTTTTTTTACCAGTTAAACTTGTCCAAATATTTTTTATTCCCAATTAAAAGTCTTTTTCGAATAATAAACAAACCGCTTACCAAATTAAACAAGTTTGGTACCAAATGAGGGAAATGTCTAAACGAGCAAAGCCACCCATTGAAAAATTAATTAATTACCATAGATCAAACCTTGGGTCTGGTATTTGAGTTCTTTTAGCATTAGTAAATGATAAAAAAATACAAATAGAGGTGGTAACCTTCTTTCGTTATTCCTCCTCAAAATCTATTTCAGTCACAGAAGAAAGGATTAAAAATGAATTACAAAAACAAATTCGAAAAACGTTGCTGACGTTACACGTTCTCCAAATTCAGAAACAACCAAAAGAATGAGAATGGAGAATTCCTTGGAAATCAACGGTGTTTAAACAACGATCTTGCCATGCTGCAAGATTGTGAAGATGGAAGTCAGAAGGATACATGCGACATTTGCAGCCCGATGCAATTCTCAAAAAAGAACTATTGCACCGCAATAAAAAAAATAAATAAATATAATAATTTTTCAAGTTGGTCGCTTCGANTGCAATTCTCAAAAAAGAACTATTGCACCGCAATAAAAAAAATAAATAAATATAATAATTTTTCAAGTTTGTCGCTTCGAGCGAGTAGTTATTTAGCGGCGCAGGTTTGATTTACGATCCTTTAAAAACTTTTTAGTGAATATAATGTTCAGATTTTTAATTTCAAATACTAAAAAAAGCAGTATTAAAAATTTCTAACCTTTCCATTTTTATTTAAATAAATCACCTAATTTACTAACCTAAATTATTTCTTAACAAGTAACAAGTAAGAAAGTCTAAGTTCGGGCGGAGCCGAACATTAACTACCCGGCGCAAGTATTAAATATATGTTTTTCACCTTTCCGAAACCAACCGCTACATGGTAAGATGGGGCGTATCAATTTTGAGTAAATTAGAGTCCTTANAAATTTTGAAGTTTCAAGCAGTTCTGAAATTTACCGTTATATGAAAAGTGGCCTCAATTTTAGTCCGATTTCAATCATTTCCAACGCTTTGCTTTTATGTGGCAAGCACAATAACCGTACCGAGTTTGGT